AGGCATGAGCTACCACGCCCGGCCAAATGTAAAATAAATAAATAGACAACAAGAAAAATGAGTAAGTTAGTTCTATAGTTTCTTTTATAATTTATAAAACAAATCATAAATGAAAGTTTTAACAAATTGGACTACAAAATGCTTTAAAATGCCTACATAGTAAAACAAAAACAACATTTTTTTTAAAAGTAATTACAAATGGACTTGAAAGACAAAAGGAGAATTCACCCAAGATCCCAGTCTTTTAAACACAAAAGCACATATCCGAAATCATTTATGCATTCACCAATTGTCAGGCCAATTATAGGATTAGCAAAGATAATGCCTGTGAGCCCAGGCTGTTCAAAGGCATTTTTCATCAGCCTTGGCACGGTTGTTAGAGCTGTCATTATGATCTTTGTGATTTCCAGCTCTGCAGCCAAAATCTGTCTGGAAAAAGCATCAGATATGGATACACGTGTGAAGGGGGAGGTGTCCATTAATCACTTTTCCTCCAAAGTGGAAAAGAACTCAGGCTTTCAAACTAGCCACACCCAGATTTGAATCCGGGCTCTGTGGCATTTGCCTTTCCTTTGACGAGATGTACACCATCTCAAACCCTTATCTCCTTGCTTGTAAAACGGGTCTGTTGAGACCTGCATCTCTGAATGTTTTTGAGGAATGAATAGGATGATTAGTGTAGACTGCCCAGCACACAGCCTCGCACTTTTTTTTTTTTTTTTGGAGACAGAGTCTCACTCTGCCGCCTAGGCTAGAACGTAGTGGCACAATCTCAGCTCACTGCAACCTCCGACTCCTGGGTTCAAGCGATTCTCCTGCCTCAGCCTCCCGAGTAGCTGGGACTACAGGCATCTGCCACCATGCCTGGCTAATTTTTGTATTTTTAGTAGAGATGGGGTTTCACCATATTGGCCAGGCTGGTCTCAAACTCCTGACCTTGTGATCCCCCCACCTCGGCCTCCCAAAGTGCTGGGATTACAGGCATGAGCCACCGCGCCCGGCAGAGCCTGGCACTTATTAGACAATCAAAAAATGTGTTTTTCCCTCCCATTGCCGTATCTGGGAGCTCACCCAGACTCTTCAGTATTGGTTGGGCAACTGTGCATGCCAGGTACTGTGCAGGTGCTGCAGAGACTGTCATGAGTATGGAAGAGGCACTTTCTGCCTTCCTGGAGCTTAATCTCACTAGGACATCAGACACAGGACAGATAATTTTACAAAAACGAATTATTTAGAATTGAAGGAAAGCTATGAGGAAAAGCAACCCAGATTATATCAGGAGCCTCTTGACTGAGTCATAGGGGATGAGGTGGCAGGGAGGTGTTCAAAAAGGTCCTCAGAGAAAGGGACCTGATGCATGGGGGAATTTGTGTTTGTTGGAGCCATCTGGGCTGAGAGAAGACCTGGTAAGGTCTGAACAAGATGGAACAGGGTTATATGGGGTGAAATAATAAGAAATATAAATATTGATCTCTGCCCCAGTCCCTGGCACAGAGCTCCTAAAATTCTTACAATTTCCTGAGACATGGGTGAGCTAGGAGCATCTTTTATTCTAATATTTGGTCTTTGACCCCGGCTCCTGACACAGAGCTCCTAATTCCTTGGAATTTCTTAGGTGATAGGAGTATCTTTGTTTCAATGAGACAACCCTCATTGGGCTCCTGGATGGGGGCTGGTCACCAGAAAGGCCAAGCCACTGTTAGAAACTTGGAGCTTTCAGCCCCACCTCCATTCTCCAAAGAGGGGAGAAGGGCTGAAATGCAGTTAATACTCGATCATGCCTACGAGATGAAGGCTGCATAAATATTCCTGAAGTATGAGGTTCAATGAGCTTCTGGGTTGGCCAACACATCTGAGTGCCAGGAAGTGGTGCACGCCAACTCTATGGGGACAGAAGCTCCTGCAATCAGCACCTCTCCAGACGTTGCCCCATATGTCTTTTCATCCGGCTGTTCATCTGTATCCATTATTTTAACTTTTATTAAGACACTGAAGGCTGGGCGTGGTGGCTCACACTTGTAATCCTAGCACTTTTGGAGGCTGAGGTGGGCGGATCATCTGAGGTCAGGAGTTTGAGACCAACCTGGCCAACATGATGAAACCCTGACTCTACTAAAAATACAAAAATTAGCCAGGCGTGGTGGCGTGTGCCTGTAATCCCAGCTACTAAGGAGGCTGAGGCAGGAGAATTGCTTGAACCCAGGAGGCGGAGGTTGCAGTGAGCCGGGATGGTGCCACTGCCCTCCAGCCTGGACAACAGAGCGAGACTCCATCTCAAAAAAAAAGAAAAAAAGATACTGGTATCGTGTTTCCCTGAGTTCTGTGAACCTCACTAGCACATTAATTGGACCCAAGTAGGGGGTAGAGGGAGCCTCGATTTATAGCGAGTCAGTCAGAAGTATAGATGAAAACCTACTACTTGCAATGTGTATCTAAAGTGGGGAACAGTCTTATGGGACTCAGCCCTTCACCTGTGGAATCCAACACAATCTTTAGGTAGATAGTGTTAGAACTGAATTCAATAAGAGGACACCCAGCAGATGTCCACTGCAGAATTGCTTGGTGTGAGGGGAAATACACCCCCACATTGGTGTCAGAGTGTTGAGTTATACGTGAGAGTAGATATACACTTCGGTTTTTTCTATCTTTAATACCTGGGGATACCAAGCGAAGGCCAGTGTGACTGGAGCCTGGGCAGGGCAGTTACCACTCAGGCCCAGCATTCCCAGCTTAGGAATTCTGGCTCTAGCACCCTGCATCGATTCATCCCAGCTTCAGCCTGGACATTCCAGGGCCAGGAATGCACTACTTCTGGGGTGACCTGATCCATATGGGAGCTGGTTAGTGCACCCAGAATTTCAGGTGCAGCCTGCTGGCTGCTGCACCCCTGCAACCAGGAAGTGGACACCCAGCCCCAAGTTCTTGATCTTAACCGTGATGCAGTCTCTGTCCTTTGCCATGGCTCACTTTCCCATCTCTGATATTTATCCTGTGTTGTAATTACCTACTCAAATGTCTACCTCCATTATCTTAGGAAGCTAAGGAGAAGGAAGTATGCCATCCTCCTCCCTCTGTCCCCAGCTCCTAGCACAGACCCTGCACACCCGCGGTGCTGCAGAGAGCACATTTGTCGAATGAATCATAAACGATACTTTGCAAAGATTTACTTATTTGATCTCAGATAACTGTTACCTCCC